ATTTTGGACCGCATGATGAACAGCGGTCAAGGGGATAGTCCTTGTGAGTTCTCTTATTGTTCGGAGTTGCCGTGATCCTATTCGCCATCCTTCATGGGTTTCTGAAAGCTGACAGATTTGTTTTGGTTATAGGAGGAAGCGGTACCTGAAAGCTTGAAAAACATACTCCTCATCATGGCGGATGGGGGTTATATAGCTCCACCTACGGAAGACCCGTCGAAAGAAAAGATTTGGGTGGAGACGCAGAAGCGCCTGGATCGGTTTCTTCCTAACCTCTTCGCTGAGATACCTTTCAAAGCGGAAGTGCAAAAACCTCAACCACCACAAACGCCAACACAGCAGGAGCCAACATCTTCAATCACCCCTCCTCAGCTACAGCCTCAACCTGACCATGAAGAGAGCCATGGCCATCCCACAGCCAATGAGATATTGGCCAAGACTGATGTTTTGGACGCTGTCGACTAAGCCAAGCCAGGGTGTTTAGATGTTTTGCCACCTGGGTGATTGAGAGTGGGGACTGTTCATGCTGTTGTATAATGAGTCGATCATTGCAGTCTTACCTCATCTAGACAACTTCGAGTCATTTTTGTTATTTTATCCGAAACCTGGGCATTCCTCTAAACACTCTGTACTTACCTCACATCATTTTAAGTTCTTTATAGAGAAAGGAAGATAGCCACTCTCCAGTGGTCTTCTTCTCTTGCCGCGTAGATGTCTTGCTTTTCTGCCGCCGAGTTGCTAAACAAGCCACCCTCAGTCAGTCATCCAACGGTTAAGGGCTGCCAACTCAGCCACAGCCCCGCTAAGCTGCACATGATGCAAGAATCCATGTCAAGCAAACTTTACTAGCAGATCGTATTGGGAAACGTTCCAGGAAGTGGCAGCGTAGTAGCGGTTGATCAAAGTCCCAAGCCTGCCTCAGTCACGGCATATCCTCCCCAACCATGTATGAAGCTGAAGATCAAATATTTAACTCACGAACCACTTCAATCCCTATTGCTGCCAAACCTTCTTTCAACTCGTTTTCCAGCGTGTCCAGACAGTTTCACAGTTTAAACACGCCTCTGTCGATCCCTTCCATACATCCTAAATGATTCATCTCAATTGTTATTCGACAGTTTGAAGAGAATTCCCAGATTGAATGACAGGGAAATAAAAGCTCCAGGACGACATCACAACGCATTAACTCCACATGCTTCTTATCCGCCCGCCTCCTCGCCGCTCGTACTAGTTGACAGTATGACTCATAAGCTTTTCTGAGCGCTTCCAAACCCAAAGCTCAGCGGCAGTCAAAAAAGGGTTCCCAGCGGGCTGTTTTGCCTTTTCGAGGCCAGGCGCGTCTCTCACTCTCTTTTCTTTTTCCACCCCGCAGGCATGATGGCTCCAGCGGGACCATCAACCATGTGTCACGTTCTTGTTCTGGTCCAGCGAGGTGTCTTGGTTCGGCATGGTGCAACTTGTTGTGTGTAACGCGGGCTGTTGTTACGTGTATTTGAGTGTCCTTGTTGGTCAGCTCCGTATCATGGAACCGCTTGGTTAGTTACCTTGGCTTCTTGGTCCTCTTGCGGTAGCTGAGTTTGGGATCTTTGTATCTTTTTCACCCAAAGTCCATTTATTTTATCATTTCTCGCCTCCGAGTTGGTTATTTATGAGTATAAAGCTATCCGAGTCGCCCCCCAACGCCCTTATATAAGTTAAAGCATATAGCTTTTTCCATATCCACCTTAAATAACAATAATAACCAAAAGCATCCGTATTCATTTCCTCGCATATATCTGATATTATTCAACGATCAAAAGACATCGCCCAGCGCACATCTCGAGACTTGATGGCTAGTATTGACCCTCACACGACTTCCGAGATCTCATCGAGGGCTGCTGGTATGGTTCTCCGCTTTCTCAATACAAGAGGCATCAACTCTCACAACGCAGATAAGCTAACAAACAAGTAAACGTCCAGAAAATGTCGACACCACCATGGAAGGGAGTATTACAATCTACCAAAAGCGAGCCTGCGCAAAGGATAAGCGACCCGATCGCCAACCACCGGGACGCATGACAATGATCCACTTGACAGATATGTATCTACCGAGCCAGATACTGGCACTTCTCC